TGCTCTTCAGAATAGAAATTGCAAGTTGTGCAAATACGTACCTTCCCGCACACATGGACAGATCACAGTCCTATTGAGAAGGGGTTCTTTTGGGCCAATTATCTCCTGAAATTGTCAGCCAGACCTTTATACCAGTCCAAGTAATTTCTGTTGCATTTCTGTAATAAGACTCGTACCACTCTGGGGAAAACATAGAAAACTCTGTGGGTGCCTTGGCAGGCAGGGGATTAAAAATATCTGTGGTTTGTGTGGCTTATTGGATAAAATGTAGGATTTTCCACCCTGTGGTTTAAATTTCCATGTGCTGGAGTTTGTAGAATTTGTTTTTCTGAAATGTTGCTTATGTCTAAAATGAAGCCCTTACTTATGTTTAGTTGGGCCTGGGAGGAATTGACTCTGTGAAGTGATAATGGATGCTCTGGAATTGTTGAGGGGCCCCAGAAAGATGGTTCAGTAGTAAGAGACTTTTTTTTTTTTTTTTTTAAATGCAGCCAGTTCTAATTTCTCCTAGGCAGTCAGTGATGAAAGGCGATACTTTTCAAATGCTGTTATCGTCACGTGTCCGGTTGGTGACGTGTGAGGAGAGGAGTGATACGTGGGTTGGGAGGTTTGTGAAGCACCATCACTACGTCCTGGATACTTCTTTTGAAGTTCCTGGCTAAAGTCTAAGGGGCGGTTTGAGCTGCTGCTTTGTTCAGTCTGCTGGGAGTGGTTTGACGCATGTGCCTGTAACGAGTCCCATACAACGTAATGCATCTGTTCAATGCTGTTAGTTGGCTGTGAAAAACGAACCCTAATTTTTAGGGTCATTCAGATGTCTCATGAGTACTGAATACAAGCATCCCATACATCCCTGCTTACTCCAAAAGGAGGGGAAGAATTAAAGTTTAATGGCTAAAATCAAATATCAAACTAGTGAACTATGATAAAATAACAAGACATACTATTTTGAAAGTTACAGTACCATATGTTTAGGCCTGGCATGTCTTTGCTGCCATTTGAGTACCAATACTCTTATCTTAAATGACTTTTTAAGATTGAAGGACCTTAGATCCACATCTGTGTGGATGTCTCCTCACTACTACCAGCGAGCACTGCAGATGGTGCTTTTTTCACAATGGATCTTGTTCTGAGTGGTTCTCTTGAAGGCATAGGTCATGGACAGCTTGGGAAACATGACCAACACATCAGAAGCGATGCTATTTGGTTATAATAAAAATAACCGCATAACTAAAAAGGTCTTTTTAAAATGAATTAAGTGAATGAATCAATAGTCAATTGCACTTACAAATTTCTTGCTATATTCCCTAATCTGGTTTCCCTCTTTAAATAACTAACTAAATAAACCTCCCTCTGGTTTAGTAAATTAAGAGTGGCTCATGGAAGGCCTGGATAGATGTCTGAGACAGCACGAGGGAAAGGCCAGATGTTTAGGAGTGGGAGGAGAGGAAGGGAGGAGATGGACTTCTGCTTCGTAAGTGACTGACTTTGTACTTGCATAAGAGCTCTTTCCCCTCTGAAGGGGGAAGGGCATGCCCTTGAAGGAAGCTTTTTGTTTGAACTTCTTTTGAAGTAGTTATTTAGATTATAAGAATGTATTTTTAATGGAAGAAGAAATCTGGAAGAGATTTTGAAAACTTCTGTGAAAAAAAGAAGTATAGTTTTGCATTGTGCAGATTTGTCAAGGATTGCAGTTGTGTTTACTTTCAAGGCATCTTCTTTTAAGCTAATCCCCTAGTTGACTTACTTTTAAAAACACTGCCAAGAAGGGCATGTTGGAGTTCAGTTGAATATTTGCTGTCATGGGTGAGGTATTTGGGTTGGGAATCATTCATTTTAATTCTCTAATAGTTGCCAAGGTAATATATGATTGTCATCACTTGAGACAGATGCTGCTTCTGTAGAGTGGTAAAGAACAATAAAATGTCTTCCCAGTGTGCTACTGTGTTCTTTGATCAACCAAAATATTCTTGATTTCCTAGTGATCTTCTTGCTATCCAACTTCTTTCAGTCGCTGTCTCTCATATGCCCTCTCGGCAATGCAAAGCAGCCGCTGGTGGTTTGAAACTTCTTTTCTCCCATTGTACATACGTAGCCCATTGCTTTGCCTATTTTTGAATCAGCTAAATGGCTTAACCTTCTTGGCATGCCCCCTTTATACAGCTACGACCTCTGAGAAGCTGTTGCGATGAAGTTGAGTTTGAGGGTCCTTCTGCCTCTCCATGCCATGTCTAGGGGTTAAGCCTCCATAGCATAGGTCACAGAGGTGAACATTGGCCAACTCCTCTACCATCTCATTTGATATGTTGAGGAGGTAAAAGCATTGCAGCTCACCCTTACAGGGCAGAAACATTTGCTCTCCTGTTCCCCTTTGAAGTTAGTGACATAACTGTGGCTTTGGGAGCTGCAGGAGCCATCTAATGTGTCCCTTTTTTGGGGTGCTGGGGTTCAGCAGAAGCAGTCTAGTCAATGTTAGTAGTCGGTGGGAAAAAAGATGCCCATGTCACACAGCCAGCGCTCTGGTAGAGTGCTTGCCTCTGTGCTCATTGGAGAGATCGACCAACAGTGGAGCCTTTCCTGGTTTGGTAATTACTATAATTTGGACTCCACGCAGGGGACACAGTAATGTCTGGCTTCTAAAATGATGATTTGACATAGCTACTTACTCCTTTTACAAATGTTTTATAGTAATCTGTATATTTATATGGCCTGGGAATTTATCCAGAATTTATCCATTATAAGACCTTTTAATAGTTCATTAATGGAAGGCTTTGGCAGACAAAAAAGGAAAAAATTAAGCTTTCCTCCCTCCCCCCTTCTTTTTTAAGGAAATGTCAAACTTCTCTCTTCTGTGTTTAGACTGCCATTCCAATGTAAGATGAGATATAAAGATCATAATATTTTGAAAATAATTGTCACTGTTTTCTGCAATGTTCATTTTGGCTGGTCCACTGCATATATTTAAAGGCTAATATTGTAAGGATAGCAAAAGTAGGAATTATATGGTACTTCTTTCGGTCCACTTACTTCCCTAAAGTAAAAACTTTTCTTCATGAATGAATTTATGTAAATTTACCTTAGTTCCTTTTGATATGCTGCATAGGTACGTGTGCTTGTATTAACTTTTACTAGCTCCTTAAAACAGATGGGAGGTTATGTTTTGAAAATGGGAGGTTTAATAAAAGAATCTTACACAGTCCTTCTCAACTTGGGGTAGCTGTCCCTGGTCTGGATTTGTAAAGTACTATTGAGAGAGCATCGGGTATACTGGGCTGTAGAGTCGTTAAAATAACTTCTCTGCATATGGGAGGTACAGTTATGGCTGATAACATTAAAGGCATTTTGTTCAGAGTTGTTCTGATCTGTTGTCTCCGTATCTGTCTGATTACCTGCCTTATTAATTCCCCTGCAGTTCTTCTTATTTATTAGCCTGAATGAATACAGTATTAACCATGAAGTGATACACTTCTGTTTTTGGTTTAACCAAACAGTGAATTAAATCAATATGCAAAACTGTCTTTTTGTAGGAGTTGTTTTATCAATGTAATTTTAACTGTTCTTTTCAGTTTAATAATAATTGTGAATACATTTCACTACTAATATTAGTTTGTTTTACTAATTCCTTGTACGAATTTTGTTAGTTTTGTGAAAGTATTATTGTGATTCTTTATTTCATTTGGTTTAATTCTTGCTCCTTGAGTAGTGAGTATCATGTTTTAACTGAATGGAAGTTGGCATTAAACTCCTTAATTTCTTTCATATTTAATTAAATGGAGGGGTTTGGCCCAGTGTTTCTTTTGCTTACATTTATTTTAAAAGTGCCCTTATGCAAGTATTTCAAAGACTAAGGCTTTTTTAGTGAAAAATAGAGTTTTAGGATCATGGCTTATATTAACTTTTTTTTCCCTTGGTATGTCTTCATAAGATTGGTGAACTAAAGTTTAGATTGTATATAATTGCAGTAATAATATCCAGCTATTTACCCTTACGTGTAAATTTGCTGTTTGTATATATTTCATGGAATATGGACTCATTCTGTCTGTTTGTATAATACAGGTAAATTTTGTAAACCTGTATTAGAAGTTCCTTCCTGAGTTTTTAGTAAATCAGAATGGATAAGGAATTCGGTACCTTGTGATTGAGCAACATATTCTTTTATGGGTCTTTTTTAGCAGTTGGCCTGTGATTTGTTGGAACAGCCAAATACAAAAATCTGTTATGTGTTATTTTGGCTTGGCAGAAATAATGCAAAGAACTGTCAAAGGCAAGGAGTATGCAGAAGCTGTAATTTCCTTTTTACCACTGAAGAATAGGTTTGGCTGGATTATGCCTTCAATGCTAATCTATCTCTGTGTGGCCATACAGATTTTTGGAACCTTTTTGTAGCGTATTTATTTTCTGTTCACTTCAGGCCAAATGTTATAATGTCGTATATTTTTTTGGCACGTGCAGGGTGGTGATGTGAAAAAAGTTAGAGAGAAGGAATTTGAGTTAAGAACTCTGATCTAGGTGATTTAAATTGAGATTGCCACTTGATGCAATTAGGTCATGGCTAGCAATACTTGTATGTTCAACTGCAGATTTATTTTTTTTTTAAACTTTACATCTTGCTTTAAAATTAAGGATCACATTTAAAACTCTTCAACAGTTCCAAAAAAAATATTGTGAAATTTGTCCACAATTTTATACCTCTTTAGTTAATTCAGTTGGCTATTTGAATAAGCTTAATTTCAGTCTTCCTTCTACTGGTAAGCGTGTTTTTCTTTCTACGCTATTTTAACAGAAAACACATTTCCTCTTCCTCCTTAAGCCTTCTGTCTTAGCTAATGATTAGTAACGTTTCTGTCTTGAAGCATTAATTTGATACGTTTAACATAATATCCATTCCTTCTTTGCCTGAACATGTTTGAACGTCTTCAGTATTTCAAAATGATGGGACGGACATACTCGTGCTGTACATGCTTCTTTCTGTGGCTTTTAGTTTAGAACAAAACAGTTAGATGCCTCTTTCTACTCTGTTTTCCCACTGCACAGATGACAGCATCTCAGCTGCGAGCACGTCTGATGTCCAGGACCGTCTTTCAGCCCTGGAGCTGAGAGTACAGCAACAAGAAGATGAAATCACTGTGCTAAAAGCAGCGTTGGCTGATGTGCTAAGGCGTCTTGCTATCTCTGAAGACCATGTAGCTTCTGTGAGAAAATCAGCACCAAGTAAAGGTAGGTCCATACTTGGTAAATTCTTTCTAGAGTCAGAATGTTGTAATTTAGAATGTTCTCCATTGATCATTTCTTTTTTCCTTGTCTCATTTGGAAAGGCAGGTTTTAAGAGTGGCATTATAGTATATGGCTAATAGATATCTGAAATATGCTTATTAATTTTTCTGTTTGCTAACATTTTTATGCACTTAGCACCCCTGAAAATTTACCTTACTTCTTGTTAAAAGGTTCCTCTTTTAATTTAAATGGTGAAATGCTTTACAGCCACGGTCTTTAACCTGCCACTTCTGGGCAGGTTCTGGGGCTTATGAGCAGCTCTGAGCCTCAGGTTTGACTTCACCTCGAAGTTACTCAGCTGAAGGGGTGTATTAGAGGCTACGTTTCCCCCTGCTCCTAAATTAAAAAACAAAACAAAACTAAACAAAAAAAACCGTTGACACATTGCCACCAAATAAGGAGGTTTTCTGAATATAGTTAATTCTTGTTCATCTACAGAGATAACTCATCACCAGTAGGTTTCTTGTAAGAAGTGGCCATGTAGCCACTCAACGATATCTCTTTTGCCTAGTGGCTAGTAACTTTTACATTGTAACTTTGAAATATGTAGGATTGTTTAAAAATAAAGAAACTAGATGCTGTTTGCGCTAATTTTTACATACTTTTTTTTCCCCATGAACATTTTCTTTTCTATTCTGGACAACTATTTGAATCACGTTATTTGAATTTACTCCAACTTAAAATTGTGTATTCAGAGAGAACTACAGCTACGTATGTTTGTGGTACATATTAAGCCTCTGATTAAATAAAACTTTAGGTCATATTTCGGATAATTCACAGTTCTAATTCACCATAAATGCATGTATCCCCATCAAACCATGCAGCACAGAGTTTTCTGGGCTCAGTCCCTGTACTTCAGCCTTGAAGTACACTCGTTACACCAACGCCAGTAGAACACTGAACTGACACATTATAGCCTATGTTTGTTTGGGTGCCTGCATTATACAGGCTGAAAATGCAAAAGCTGAAAATGCTGAAAGTTTGAATTATTTTAGATGTGGCAGAGAGATCAAATTCCTTAATTAAGTGTTTTTGCAGTCTCTCTGCCAGATGGAAGGAAGTGATGATGCTTAATTGGCTTGGGCTCTGAATCCTGCCATTCTCTCTTGCTTGCTAAGTGGTAGACTGTTGTCATCCCTGCTTATAAATGCAGCTTTTATCTACCCGATATGCATCTCTGGTCTCATCAAGATTGAGACTTCCTTCTCTAACTCTGTGTAAATGGAGCTCTAGCAAGTATTTCGACTAAATCACTCTTTGCTGTCTGCCGTCCATTATGACAAAAAGAAAATGTCCAAGTTGAAAACTGTGGGCAAAATGCGTGTGACATAGGACCTTATTCTTCCCATTTAAATGCAGATGAGCTGCGATACGCACAAACATGGCTAAAGACCTTTGGCTTGGAGCTGTCTAATACCCAGCAAACTGTGCGCAGGCAGGGCAAGCTTGCTGTGTTTTGCAAAATGCCTTGGGGCCATCTCCTTATTGGGAGTCTGGGGGTCCTGGGGCTACGTTGAGTTCTCCAGGTGAATTGATGGAATATCTAAATATCTTCAGCTTTGTCCTATTACATCTCTACCAACTGACGACAACAGCATGTAACTGTGAAGAAAGAGATGGGGGCGGGGCAGAGGTGTACACATATGAGCTAATACATTGAACTCAAATGAGTTATGACTGATTGGCACTGTATTTGATTTGTGGTGGATGTGTCCCCATTGTGTTCAGCTACCTAATACCACCAGACAACACATTAACTTCAGTGTTTATCATGAAATCAGCTGCATATAGATGGTATAAAGATGTCACAAAAGAAAATGTTCACATACAGTCACTGGAATTTTGTACAAGTCTAAAATTAGACTTGAAGAATGAGCTTGAGATTAATATTGATTTAAACTTAAACATCAATAGTTTAATAAATATTTCAAAACAAGTTCGTACCTAGCTTTTTGCAATACCTTTTGTTCTACTTTTGATTTCTGTATTTTAAGTTCATTCAATAGATAAAGAACTCTCGAAATGTTTTAACAAAGAGAAATGTATTCTTTTTGCGCATGAGTAGGATTGTCAGAAGATCTGAATTGTCATACCAAAATAATACTCAAGGAAGTAATTGTTAATTTTTCTTTGAAGTATTTTATGGGTACGTAACAGGCTTTTACTAGTCAAGTCATAGTTGCTGCAAAGATAATTGTATTCCTCCAAAACTTTTTGGTGTGCGTGATCCTGTCAAGAATCTGGTTTCTGCATTATAACAGTTGCAGTTTCGTGGTAAATAGTATAGGTAGGTTTTCTTTAAAAAAAAAAGTTGAGGCTTTGATTCACAGAAGTATTTGTCTCTACAGCAGCCCTTAGATACATGCTGACATAAATAATGAACAAAGAGAATAGGTGTGTATATATTTCTGAATACATTGAGAGAGATGTGTTTAATTTGAAGTATGGCAACACAGTGAGATAAATACTTTTAAAATAAACTGAACTTACAAGAATCATAGTACTGGAAAAAGCCAACTTGAATCTTTCCATCAAACGAGTTTTAATCTGAGTAAGAGACAATGTCTAACCTAGTTTGAAGGAGTCTTTCCTACTTGGTGCTGAAATGAGTTTTCTAAAACCTCTCCATTTTTTTTCTTGTTGCCACCTCAGTAGTGTCTTTGAAGAGAGGTTTTTCATAGGCTAAAAATAAGTTGTGTGAACAGACTGTGAATCGTGCTGAAAGGGACAAATCCTGATCACTTTTTCACTGATTTTTCTCATTCTGAAGTTGATGGCCCAACTTAATGCAAAAAGAGATCTTTTCATGCTTTGTGTTAGTTTGTCTGCATTGCATATCTGGTGAGCTAATTCTATTCTTATTTTTCTTATCCCTTTATTTTAGATTGACAGATTGAATCGACCACAGCTGAAGCTAAAATTTTTTGCATTATCCGTGTAGTCTTTGTTTTTCTTTTTCCCTACATTTCTGTTGCATGCTTATTTTGAACTTAGTCCAGCCTTCAGTGAGAAAATTCATGGGCATGGGTAGATTTTTATTTCTAACGTATGGGCTATCAGTCAGGAGGTTGCTACCTATGATTTTGTCTGTCTATTCCTGCCTTAGAAGCAAGCTGCTCTTCATACAGGGATAGGTGATTTACAAACTGTATGAGATAAGCTAAAGGGTGAGATTTTTTTTTAGCCACCTTAATGCCTCCTAATAAAGCATGAAATGGAGATACTGTATGAGGGAAATACCTCTAGTAGGGATTGCAACAGCATTAGTACTTGTCTGTTACTGCACAGTGAAAAGCAGACGGGGAGTCTTCGCATGTGGCTTGTTTTCCTCTTTAGTGTTTCTCAATGCAAAGTCATTCATTCTAAATAGAGAAAATGTTTTCAAAATAAAAAGGCTATGATAGTACTTCTCCATCTCTGCATACAGCTAAGAATAACTACACAAAGGAGAAATTACCAGGTCAAAAAATGGTGTTGAGGATTAGAAATGTGAAAGAGCCTTGACTAGGGAATAGGTCCCCAGCACCTACAGGGTTTGGGGGGATTGTAGTGTGTGGGTGCGTTTGTGGGTTTTTTCTCCTTTTTTTTTTCTATCTTTCTTTCTCTCTTTTTTAATAGATGGCTTGGTAAGCTATCTTTCTTTCTCTCTCTCTCTTTTTTAATAGATGGCTTGGTAAGAAGAATTTCTTTGGTGAGAAGTTCTTTGCTTTTGGCAGCTCTGCGCTCTTGTTGCCACATGTCTCTGCTGTTGATGCATGATTGATGCTGTTAACATTCCCAAAAAGTTCCAAAAACAAAGATTACCTGGACACTGAAGAAAAGGAAAGCATAAAGCAGTCTGGTACTTGCAGCTGCCAGCAAGATAGATTGGCTCACAGCTGGTGCCTGGTAAACCTATTAAAATCTTCCAGGGTGTCAAAATGTGTGTAACAGGAGAATTCATCCCTCAGGCTCTGGGTGTGGAGACAATTTTGTGACACACAATGGCACCAGTAAAATATCTCAGACTAATCATATCACTGGGGTATGAGCCCTTGCCTGAAAAAGTGGCCATCTACCAGAAAATACATCTGATGTCTGCCCGTAGAGAGAAAAAAAGAGTTCATGTCCTTCTTCTGGACTCGGAAGTGATGAGGAGGCTTGTCACAGGTTAAACTTTTGGAGGAACATTTCCTGTTGCTTGGACAAGAATTGATATCAAGTAACTCATATGCAAATTCAACTCACAAAGTGAAATTGAAGCAGTGGATGGCAGTTTGCAGAGAGGGTCTCGCATGACCGTGCAGGCTGGCAGACTGAGGGGTATTTATTTTACTTAAAGCAGTGATCTTGGGGACCTGCAAAAGCAGCTATGTACTGGAAATGCAGTTTGTTTTGGGTTTTTTTTGCCCCCTTTGTGCAGTGGATTTTTATAATAGGAACCCGAAGACTTTTCCTTGCTTCCCTGCTCCCTTCTCTCATGTGAAACAGTGTGTCTCTTCAGTAGGAAAAATCCTACATGGTGTCTTGCATCAAATTCCATCTCATTGCACTAATGTAAGCAAAGCACTTCAGATGTAATTTTTACCTTATCTCAACAATGGTTTCATTTCAATAACGTTAAGTCATTTTGTTTTATACTAACAAAAATTGACTTCAGGTGTTCGGCAAGCTTCATTAATGAAAGCATAAGATAGACTTGCATTTGTGGTTTTAGTCTTAACACATTCTCATGTGCAGAATTGTTCTAATAACTGGGTACGTGTTTATGTTGTCTAATCAGTAAATGTTAAAGGAACAGAAAATAGAAGCGTAGATAGGAAAATGCTTATGGTAGAGGGAGGATATAGGCTCTTATCCGTGATGTTAAAACTAACCTGGCAAGCTTGTACGTGTGTCATTTTACTCATGGGAGTAGTCCAATTGAAGTCTGCAGGCTGTATGCTCACATAACAAATAGTGAT